CTGAGGATATAAAGATGACAGAAACAGTATTGGCTTCTTTTTTCCAAAAGTTCACAGACTGTTACAATCACTCTGGAAAATCACTGGTCATCTACACTAATAAAAGAGTAAGATGCAAATTGACTGTACCTTTGTGACACCCACCAGCCAATCAGGAGTGAGTATGCAAATTAACCCAATAAAGATTGTTGGGTTAATTTTCATATGCAGGTGCCTAATAGCCAGGCACAAGGTGGGACGCAGGCATTTCACACCACCCCAGCCACTCCGGGCCTCTGGGCAGCATGGGAAGGCGGGAAGGTGGGAAGGCTGAAGGCAGCTCTGGGCCGAAGGGAAAAGGTGGCCCAGCGGAAGTAAAGGCAGTGCTGGCAGCTAGGGTAAGGGAGGCCCATTTTGAATGAATCTTCTTGTATCAGGCCTCTAGTTATTACTAAGCTACTAAAGCTTAGCATATGCTTGTGCTATGGCCCAACAATTCCATATCTGTCCCAAAGAGAAATGAGAGCATCCAGCTACCCAAAGAAATGTACAAAACATCTGTGGCAGCTTTTTCATATTAGCAAAAAACTAGAGCTAACATACCCAGTAATTATCAAATAAATAAATTTCAATATATTTGGAATATTCATATCATGGAATACTCTACAATAATAACAAGACAAAACTGTTGCCATGCATAACCACATGGATGAATCTCAAAGATACAATGCTGAGAGAAAGAAGCCAGACACAGAAGAGTACATCCAATATTATTTCATTGTTATTAAATTCAAGAACAAGTCATTAAAGTTCCAGAACATATTTTAGTAGTGCTTTTTTTCCAAACACAGAAATAAATCTATTATGATAGAAATCAGAAGAGTGGTTACCTCTGGGAGTGGAGTATTGACTAAGAAAAGGCCCATAAGTGCATTCTAGAATGGCAGAAACACTCTGTATCTTGATCTGAGTGGAAAAGTAAAAAAAAATCTTCAGGCTGAACAATAAACATTAGTGCATTTTAGGTATGTTATATGACAATCAAAAAGGGGAAAAGAAATTTCAAAAGCTTACTGCCTAGTTGGACAACCAAGTGGCATTTCGAAAACTCTAAATGTAGGTGGTAAGTGCTTTGGGAGAGGGGCAAGCTAGAAGGGGTCTATGGGGGGGGGGGCATAGGAGGAGATGCCAAGTGGAGAGAAGAAGGTAAGTTTGATTCAACAACCATGTGAGCATGAATTGACTGCAGGATTCTCAGAGGAAGCTCAAGTAGGCAGTTAGAAATAGAAAGCTGTACTTTAAACAATAAGGAATTTTTAAAAATAAATAAATATATAAAATGAGTCAGATTGACCTAATTATTTTGGCTTTTACTCTTACAAAGAAAACAAGAGCTCCTGAAAGTATAATCCTTGGTGTCTTTTAGAATAACTTCTTGATAAACTAGTGTTCCCTTCTTCCTGGGACTTTGTTATCAAAAAATATAATTTGTTTAAAAGAATGAAGATATTCAGTGCTTCTCAGAACTGTCAGCTCAAGGCCAAGTCTTCATAATTCCATACAAAGTTATTCATATGTTTTCGAAGGGAAAAGCAATGAGAAATGGGATAATATATTAAAGGAAATCAAATAAATTTACAATAAAAGATCATTAGGAAATGAAATCTTGCCAGCCTAGACAAATGGGCTCCATTATTTCATTTAAGTCAGACTAAATTACTGTCCATGTATCTATTAACACATTTATAAGTGTCGAAATCGAGATGTTAAGATCTCAACTGTAGGTGTAAAATCAAAGTGATTTTGCTAAGTTTAAACCATCTTTTATTGTGAAGGAAAAAATTTTTAAATAATATAAATGTCACAGGGAAGTTTTCATAATTCCTTTTTTTAAAACAGTCAGTGATTCAGGAGGTTAAAGAAAGTTAGACACTACACAATTAAGCATGACAATGACTCTGCCTCTGGACTTCTTGATATGCAAGCTAATTAATGTATTTTTTTATTTAAATGAGTTTTCGGATACTGAAAACATCTTATATGGTACAATGACTTCATAGAGCCCTAAACTCTTGCAGAAAATTGAACAAAACTTTCTAAGAGAACTCTGTACTCTGCAACGCACATATATAATGATACCAAATGCACATATAAACTAATAACTCAAACACATTTGATAAAATAAACAAAAACACCTTTTTTTTTTTCAAGTAAATTGCTAATACTGGGTAAAAATTAAGGGACATCGCCCTGACTGGTTTGGTTCAGTGGATAGAGCATCAGCCTGCGAACTGAGGGGTCCCAGATTATATTCCAGTCAATGGCATATATCTTGGTTGCAGGCACATTCCCAGTTGGGAATGTGCAAGAGACAGCTGATCAATGCTTCTCTCTCATTGATGTTTCTAACTCTCTATCCCTCTCCTTTCATCTATGTAAAAAATCAATAAAATATCTTTAAAAAAGAAAAAAGAAAATTAAGAGACATTAGAATTACTCCTTCATGGAAAAAGTCTTGTAGGTTTAACAAATCATTTATTAGAAAAGTTATTGATAGGTGAATGAACTAATTCCACTACTATCCTGGAACCTTTATAATAAAGTGCTTCCCAAATACCCACTTTAAAACTATAACCCAGATGAGCCCACCCTGTTTTTGCCCCAAGTCCTTTATTTTATAAACTCACTTTTCCCTTAAATATTAAAAAGTATATACATTTTCATGGTTTTTCGATCTAAGTGATGGTAGCAGATCTTATTGTTGTTCTTGAATGTTTTCCCAAATTTCTATAATGAAAACAACTTCAAGTGCCACAACCTTTCAATTCCCAAGACTTACATGAGCAACTCTCCCTCTAGTTTTCTGCTCCCACTTGGTCTCACTAAACAGTCTTGTTTCCTATGTTTCACATCATCCCAAACATTGGACAGGGCCCTTTTGGCTTAACTTCCCAAAGCCACTTGTAACACAAAGTTACTATCTGTAGCCTACTGTTAATAAAGGGATGGTAATAAAGACACGTTAACAGTTAATGTTAGGCATCCTTGTTTTTAAATTCCCTTGACTATCCCTGTCATTAATCATCCTTTCTCCTTGGGCCATGACCTCCCAATAGGCTTCTAGGCCCTCTCTCTCACCAAACCCGCTTCACAACTCCCCACTGAGTTCCCCTTCCAGGCCCCAAATGGCCCTCTTTCCTGGGAAACTCAAGAATTCCTCTCACCTATTGAGCACAACACATTAGCACTCTCTTTGTTTCACCCTCTCCTGGAGAACAGCTCCAATCTGGAGAACAGCTCCAATCACCTTTCAAATCAAAGATGTCCCTCAGGTTATTTCCTTAAAAAAAAAAATCATCCCGAGATAAACTTTGGCATTCCCCTTATGAGTTAAAAAAAGAAGCAGAGGCAGGTTTTATAAATAGCAATATTTTTCCCCCCACCATGCCAGAATGCAAACAGTTTGTAGTCCATGCAACAGGATATTAACATGGGAGATTTCTGCCTTGATTTGGGGTGAGACCTAATGGCAAGTCAGTGCCAAAGCTTGTAGAATTCTAAATTGAAGCTATACCATCTAGGAAAGTGTTTCCAAAGGGGTAGCTAAGTATAGTGCGTGTACCCCTAACCCAAACCCCTCCTAAAGGCTATCAAGGAATTGAAGTTGCAAAAGGGGAGAGAATTTATTTGGAGGGAGTTTTTGATGTTCTGTGCATTCTCTTCCTCCCTCCGTGAGGGAGAGGGTGGGGCAGCTTGGGTGCCAGTTAAGCCAAGTGAGAGGGGAAGTTTCATGAGTAACACTCAAAAAGCCCAGTGTGCCTCCAGAAGATCAGGGAGCAAAAGGACTGTGAGGTTGCATTGGAAGAAAACTGTCCACCAACGGCAGGGCAAAAATGCACAAGTGTTTCTTGTGAATCAGATGGGATCAGATGGAAAGGACTCATCCTGAGGCTGGTTGAATCCTGCCCAACAGGACTTCCTCAAGGAGTAAAGGAACCAATGGGGGAGAGGGGGGTGCACCATGGGAAGCCCAGGAGCTGAAAAAGGAATTCTGGGTGATCAGTCAGAAAAGTGGATTTTCTTATGCCAAACCTATAAACAGGTTTTCTCAGTATAAATATCTCGTGAAACCCTAGCAGGTTTGGCTCAGTGGAAAGAGCATCAGCCTGTGGACTGACGGGTCCCAGTTTTGATTCCAGTCAAGGCCATGTACCTCGATTGCAGGCTGATCCCCAGCCCTGGTCGGGGCATGTGTGAAGGCAACCAATCATGCGTCTCTCTTACGTTGATGTTTCAATCTCTCTGTCTCTCTCCTTCCGCTTTTTAAAAAAATAAATGGAAAAATATCCCCAGGTGAGGATTAACAAAAAACAAACAAAACCTCTTGTGAAGAACCCATGAAAACATCAAGTGGGAGGTGGGGGTTGGGGGAGAGAGATCTATGTTGGGAATATTACATAGCATAGCCAGCAGGCCCGATAACCAAGTTACACATGTGCCAATCATTAAAGATGTTTCATGGGCCTCACCTCTTTTCCCGCTCCCTGCAAGATCCAGTTAACCCTGGAAGATCCAGAAACAACCAAGTGAGTGGGACAGCAGAGGGAAAAAACAAGGTAGGGATGAGTGCAAGAATTCAACCACATTCCACCTCCCTAGATACAGGTTTTTGAATGTTTTTCCAAATTTCTACAATAAAACAATTTCAAGTGCCACAACCTTTGTGAATTTGGTTGACACTTCTATTATAGAGAAATATAGATGCATACAATACAGCTAGTGAATAGGACTATCAGACAGTTATAAATAAAATTCCATCTCATGTTGAAACTGTTTTTTGGGATCTGACTCCGGTGGCCGCTGGTGGGATGGTGGCGATGTTTTTCTCCGAGGCCGGGCCCGGCCGCGCACGTAGGAGGCCAGCCCTTCGGAACACAAGAAATGGGTGGAAGTATTCAGAGCATGTGATGAAGATAACAAAGGCTACCTAAGCAGAGAGGACTTCACAACTTGCTGTTGTGATGCTGTTTGGGTACCAGCCCTCCAAGATAGAAGCCGATGCTGTGATGTCTTCAGTGAATCCAAACACTTCCAGTCTAACACTCGAGGAGTTTTTAAACATTATAAGGAAGAAGAAGGAAGTTCAGCTGTACCGGAATGAAATAAGACACATCTTCACAGCTTTTGACAGGCACTACCGTGGATATCTAACTTTGGAAGATTTTCAGAAAGCATTCAAGCAGGTGGCTCCCAAGTTACCAGAAAGGATAACGCTCGAGGTTTTCAGGGAAGTAGACCGAGACTCAGATGGCCATGTCAGCTTCAAAGACTTCGAATATGCCATGAACTACGGACAGAAGTGAAGCCTGACGCTGTGTGAGCGGCTCTCGGCAACTTCCGGGGAGACCAATGACTGTCGTGTATTTAAACGTCAGCATTCACTCTGCATACTTGCGATTACACTCTTCTTCCCGGTTTTTAAAAAAAAATGTTTTTTAAACGATATAGAGTGGACAGGCTTATCCACTGCAAATACATCTGACTCTGAGTGTTCACTTGCACACACCTGGCTGGTGGAAAAATTGAAAATGAATAAGAATAATTTTTTAAAAATATATTTTATTGATTTTTCACAGATAGGAAGAGAGAGGGATAGAGAGTTAGAAACATCAATGAGAGAGAATCAGCCGCTTCTTGCACACCCCCTACTGGGGATGTGCCCGCAACCAAGGTACATGCCCTTGACCGGAATCGAACCTGGGACCTTTCAGTCTGCAGGCGGACACTCTATCCACTAAGCCATACTGGTCCCAGCAGAAAATGAATAAGGATAATTAAAATGACCAAAAACATCTTTTAGGTAATTAAAACCATCATGTAATGAGTGGTCTTATAATTAACTTTCTGAAATAAAACTGTAATTAGTGTTGTTCTGAATAGGAAAAGAACTGGGTAAAAAGATATTAACATAGCAAGGTTTTCACACTGATAAATAAGTGTATCTAGAACACACAAATATTGATGATTTTTTAACCTTTGGGTTTTAATAATGTAATTTCAACCACCCTCTCCTCTAATGAGAGCTAGAAAAGCTAAACAATAATGAAAAAATATTACTTGAAAACAGATAAAAGCTAATGAGGATGTAAAAGTATATGCTTTTGCTTAAGTATAAACTGATAAAAAATATAAATAAAATAAAAACAAAATTTGTTCTTAGATTTAATCTTGTTAAAATTTGGTGTGTAACATTTTTTATATGAATATGTGTTTGATTTGCTTTTGCACAGTATACATACTTTTAAATATTTTATCTTGCATCCTCCTTTTAGGTTTCACTGACCAATATCAAGAGCAGTTTTCCACAGCTAAATAATCTCGCATCAGGTGGTAATATAATTTATTTAACCATTTATCAATAGACATTAGGTTTCTCTTCATTTCTTTATATATTGTTTCAGCATTCATAATTCTGGAATGCTTCTTTGATTGTTAAAACAGAATTAAATTCCTAGAAGTGTAATAATTGGGTTAAGGGCATGAAAAATCTGGTATATGTTGTAAATCTGGTATATGTTATAAAATTTACCTCCAGAAGAATAATACTAATATAAACTGCTAGCAGCATTTTCTGAGAGTGTTTCTTTTACTATAGCTTTGCCAACACTGAGTGTTAACTGTCTCATCATTCTCAATTAATTACAAAATAATAATGTTCATTAATTAATTAGACAAATATTTATCAAGTGTCTATGTAGGTACACTGGCAAGCAAAACCAGACCTAGTCTTTGATCTCTTGAAGTACATCATTTGGTACAAGACATAGATATTGAACAATTAATTATGCAAATTGAAATATAATTATAAACCAAGATAACTACACAAAAGGAAATTAATAGAGTACTAGGAGGGTGGTTTGAGATAAGGGTCAAGACATAACTGGGGAGTGTAGCATGAAGATTTTGAATTTCTAAAAGTATGCAAGATAGAGAATGCATTATTGGACGGTCAGAGTGGATCAGGGAAAACCAGTTAATTGGTAACTAAAGGAGAAAATGATAGTTCCAACTAGAGTTTTACAGTAGAAAGTTGAAGAATATATCATAAATATCTTAATCTGAATGTGATAAGTATTAGTAAGATTGAATGCTCTTCCATGTGTTTATTGACATTTTATGTCCATATGTGAGGAGGGGAACCAGTGGGCCTGGGAAAGCCTGTGAGAACTGTTCTTATTTTTTGCTCATTTTCAGATGATGTTTTGAGCATTTTCCTGATTGATTTGTGAAAGCCTTTTATTGTGACCATATTTCCATCATAATATCCTAAACAACCAAAGAAAAGCTAGTGGTTTAAACTACAAGTCCCTATTCCTCCTGTATGGGCCTGCAGATCTGCTGCAGAAGATCTGGCTCAGGTGGCCCAGGTCCTGGTCCGGTCCACACCTCTCATTCTGGGACCAGTGCTGCTTCTGGGCATGCTCATGCCTGAAAGATGGCAGAAGCACAATCGGCCAAGCCAAACAATGCAAACATAGGAAAGCCTCTGTGTTTCTTTTTCATATCTGCTTCCCATTGGCCAAAACGAGTCAGCTGGCAATCACTAGAATGGGATGTTTACTCCACCTATTTTACTTGGAGGCTTCCCAAGTCACATGACAAGCTGGATAACGTGTAATCCTGTTACAGGAAGGAACTGGGAACCATAACCTGATCTACCAAAAAGACATTTGTCATTAGCTCTTTCTATATGTATCAATACTTTTTCACAGGATTTTATTATCAGCCATTTTTTATGATATTCAAAAGTTTTTAATTTGATTACATACAAAGTTATAGATGATTCCTTTGCGTTTTTCTGCGCTAGGTATTGATTTGAAAATCTATGCCTATTCTAAGATTTGATAAGTATTTACTTAAATATATTTCTAATCATTTTCATCATTTCATTTCTACACATAATTATTTTATCCACCTGAAATTTATTTGGGGCATATGATGTGAAGTAATGATCTAATTTATTTCTCCCAAATAATAAATTGCCTAAAACTATTTTAATAAAAAAAAATTGTGTACAATATGAAGAAAACTATTTTGTTGGAGGCTATTAATGAAACAAAAATTAAATAAGTGAATACATGTGGCATACTGTGGATAAAAAAGTTAAATATTGAAGTTAAATATGACGTTGTCAATATTAAATTGCCATTCAAATTCAGTAAAAATTCCAATAGATTTTTCTAAGATTTAAAAAAAAAAATTATAATTAAAAAATTATAATTCAAACATTTCGCTTTCCATGACTTATTCTTATCTGTTTACTCATCTAGACATCAGGATAACTAGTAGATGTCTAGAAGAATAAACAGATAAGAATAAGTCATGGAAATCGAAATGTTTGAATTATAATTATTAAATATTATGATTTAGATGTCAAGAACAGAAAGACCAGTATAACAAAATAGGCTGTTGCCTAAAAATAAAAGCCTTTTAAAGTGAGGCAGCATGCATTTATTCCAGAGATGGAAAGAATAGCTATTCAGGAAATCACTGATTCAGGCAGACCCCATTTAGGGGTCGATTAGGAGACAAAGGCAGAAGGTATTTATAGAAAGAGAAAGGGGCCTAAACCAGTTTGGCTCAGTGGATAGAGCATTGGTGTGCGGACTGAAGGGTCCCAGGTTCGATTCTGGTCAAGGACATGTACATTGGTTGCGGGCACATCCCCAGTAGGGGGTGTGCAGAAGGCAGCTGGTCAATGTTTCTAGTTCTCTCTTCCTCTCTGTAAAAAAATCAATAAAATATATATTTAAAAAAAAAAAAAAGAAAAAGAAAGAAAGAAAGAAAGAAAGAAAGAAAGAAAGAAAGAAAGAAAGAAAGAAAGAAATATAGAAAGAAAGAAAGGGAAAGGGAACAACTACATCAGAAGAAGGAAGGTATTTCTATTGGTGCAGATAACATAGCATAGTAATACTAATTCTAAACAATTTTAATCTTCAGTCTGATAACCCTCAGCACAGTAGTCTGAATATCTGCTTTCGTGTTATTTTGCACACAGTTCTTTGGGACAGAATTTTGTTTTAGGACTAAGCTAAGGTTATTTTGTCCTGTCTTAACATTATACCAAAGGTTTGTAGTATAAGTGGTGCAAGGCAGTTCCTCTGGGATGGCAGCTCTAACTCCATTTTATATGTTTTTATTCATTTCAGAGAGAAAGGGAGAGGGAGAGAAAGATAGAAACATCAATGATGAGACAGAATCATTGATAGGCTGCCTCTTGCATGCCCCAGACTAGGGATCAAGCCCCAAACCCAAGCATATGCCTTGACCAGGAATGGAATCGTGACCTCCAGGTTCATGGGTTGATGCTCAGCCACTGAGCCATCCCATCCAGCTCTGACTCCATTTTAAAGTGACTTCATTTATTACTTTTTGTCATTTCTCCTTTTTTGATCATGATCTTTTCTTGAAAGCATATGCTGATCAATCATTAGAAAGCAGCACTGGTCAGTTATTAAAAGTTGGTGACTCATTTTGGTGATTGCATGCCCCTGTGAATCAGGAAAGCTCACTCCTTGTATGGCTCTTATATTAATAGAAAGGAAGTGGTTTTTGGAAGCCTTAGACCACATTTGAACGACAAGAACACCAGACCAGAGAAAGGATTTACATCATTTCTTTAAGGGAAAGTATTTTCTGTAGTTTCTTAAGGATTTTCAAATGAAGTCCCATAGGCCTTAGTGGTCATTCAAACCACTGAATAACCATATCTGAGTGGTGTCTTTATAACATCAAGCTATGAAAAACAAAGGTTTATAAAAGCAATAAACATCTTTTTAATTTTTTAAATCTAATTTAATTTTTTTTAATTTTAAAGATTTTTTTAGAATATGTCTTTATTGGTTTTAGAGAGAGGGATAAAGAGATAGAATTTTTGAGAGAAACATGGATTGCTGCCTCCTGCATGCCCCCTACTGGGCATGTGACCTGACCAGGAATCAAACCAGTGACCTCTTGCTTCCTGGGTCGACACTCAACCACTGAGCCACACCAGCTGGGCCAAAAATTTTTATAATAACAAACAAAATGCTAAGTTCAACTTGAAGAATCTTAACTAGCAGGCAGTCAGTTAAATATATTAAAGAACTATAAGTTGCCAATGGACACTGTATTTACAGGATTGATGTTAACAGGCATTCAGCACCCTGGACTGTGTGTAACCCTTTGCACATTTTGACCTGAGAAGTAGGTTTAAAAATAATGCTAATGTTGATTTAAAAACACACACACACACACACACACACACACACACACACACACACACACACAATAGGGCCATGGTCAATGTTGCTCAGTGGGTTGG